AACAGTTGCCCTTCCTGCGAGGACCCCACGGAGTGTTTCCCTTCCCCGGTGGCAGTCTCCAGTTCCACCTTCCCCCGATTGTCTTCTTCGGTTACGTGTTCGCCCGTATGACAGTTTATTATCGTTATTATTCTACTGTACTCGTAATAAATATGTGTGTTAACACTTGGCCTCGGCTTATCATCTCGATGAGTGACCGTTCCTGTGATCAAGCATTCTAGTGGACTTACAGTGCGTGGACACAGCCAGAAGACAACGGACGTAGACGAACGACTGAGTACCGGCCATAATCAGGAAGAATATACGCTACCAAAGGACAACAGGGCGCTCGGGCGTTACACTGGCGTTACACACTGCTCTCTGAGTAACTAATGAATTAACAGTCTCAACGACCAATAGAAAACCTCTTGGGCCCGCGACCTTGACGCCTTGAACATCATCACAAGAAAGATAATTAATGTGAGGGTAAATTATAAATTCAGTTGTTATTTAATGTTCACCATATAAACAAGAGTCAACTGTAATTAATTATTAAAAAGATAACGTTTGCATTAAGCCAGTAGTATAAAATATTGAATGTTACTCATGCTCTACACTGCAGTGTGTACAATTTTGAAATTGCAGATTTCCCTATATGTGTACTACGGTACGCCCCTGTAAACAATGTCCTTACGCTGCACTAAAGCTAAATGCCCTTGCTAGGTCCAGTACTAGTAAACCCATTTTCGCGACCTGACTAGCGGAGTTACAATCGATTGTTACCTCCCCTATTAGCAAGACTGTCGCGGCGATATCGCTTTGACAACATCTTTATCCACCAATTCGCTTTAGAGGCAATATCATATTTTCGATATTCCTGGAAAACAGCTGCATGGGAGTGTTTGCCATTTCGCGTTATCCGCGTACTTATGTTATACTGTAATGTAAAGCAACCGTTATTACAAAAGTAAAGGTTGCCTGTAATTCATTACCTTTGCATTTATTTGTCCTCTGCTGGACATTTTAACCCACTGATTATATCCAAATCGGTTCACGGATATCTGAGAACGGCTCAAACTGTGCGTGTTGTGTCGTACGGCATGTACATTCAAGCATGTAAGGCAAAGGCGAATTGCAAAGGCCTCGTACTAGAGTCACGCACACACTGGAATCGCCTGAGAAGGACAATATCAAATATCTTCATAGCACCATCGATAACACTTATGCCGCTGCAGTTCTCGCCTCTTGTCTTATCGCCGTTCTTGTAGACAGATACAAGGATGTTTGTGACACAGTCATCAGGAACAGCCTCGTCTCTCCACGCTTTTTCAACCATTCCATTGAGCCAAGGTGCCGAAGTGTCGACAAAAACTTGTAGATTTCAGCGGGTATGCTGTCCGATCCAGTTGCATTTTTGTTGTGCAGTCTTTGTGGGGCTCCAGCGACTTCTTCAGAAGGTCGCATGATATTGGATAAGTAAGAGAGGGAAGAGACTCAGCTCTTTGTGAGAGCAAGGGGGTGCTAGGTTCCATATCGAAGTTGAGGAGGTGCTCGAATTGGCCACACCAGCGCTCGACCTTAGTCGTGTTGTCGGCAATAAAGCTGTCATTGATACCACGAACCCAGTCACTCGGTGAAGAGAGCTTACCACTAACTTTGAGGATACGTTTGTAGAGTTTTCGAGTATCATCAACGTTCGAGGCCTGCCTCATAGAGGTCGTTATTTCAGCCCAGCATTTCTTCCGG